GGCGTCAGGGTAGCGGCGACCGGGTAAAGGGGCGTCAGTGGAAGGTTGGTTAGATGACGACGAACAGGAATTGAGGGATGCAGCGACTGAATGTTGAGGGGTCGTCGGATTCATGAGCGCCGAGGTAGGGAAAGTCAGACGTGGTTGGTTTGACCAACGGCGGCGGCAATAGCGAGAAACGTGCCCAGGCTGGTGGCAGGAAAAACAAATAGGCCGGTTGTTGGGTGTTCGCCATTCCGAAGGGTTACGGAAGGACATTGTTGGAGGTGAACGGAGAGCGTGTCCTATGGAGTAAGACGGGACTTCAGGGCGAGTCAAGGGACATGCTGATGGAATGCCGAGATTCGCAAACTTCTGCCTCACCACAGCTTGTAATAACGCCATTGACGGCTGTTGTTGGTCAGAGGCGAGCGTTACGAAAACGGGTGGCTGACGAGGAGCGAGGAGGCGGTTTCAATTTCCCGACGAACAATGCGTGTGACGTTGTCATACGTGGGGGACTGGTGGGCGGCTTCACACGATGAGGTTGCGGCCATGTTGGGCAGCCGGTTTAATCGCTGAGTAATACGGCGGCTCTTGGCTTTTTCGAACCACCGGCACTCTTCATTGATGGTGTCGATGGTGGCAACGTTGTTATAAACTAGAAGATTAAATGCGTTGTCTGCTATGCCTTTCAGCACATGGGCCACTTTCCCAGACTCACTCATGTGCTCGTCAATCTGGCGGCATAGGGCGATGACGTCGTGAATGTACGCGACGTACGATTACGTGGACGTCTGTGCACGAGCCGCCAGTATTCCGCGCTGTGATCTGCCACCCAACGGTGTCGCCAAAAAGGTCGCGGATCTTCTCTTTAAAGGAAGGAGTCCCAGTTTGTAATCTCCGCTTCGTGCGTCTCGAACCACACTTGTGGTGGGCCATCGAGGTAAAAAAGCACGTTGGCAAGCATAAGAGTCGGGTCCCACCTATAGCTTGCGCTGATCCGTTCGTACCGGTTGATTCATTTGTCGACTTCAACGCCATTCTGACCGGAAAATACACCGGGATCACGAGAAGGAGGTAGAACGACGTATGTAAAAATCGCGGAAGGGGAAGGTGGTGAAGACGATGGTTGTTCAACCAGTGACATGGTTGGACCTATGATGATGCGGCCGTTGCGGTGCTTCGTGATGAAGACGGGGAAGTACCCAGCACGTCCACCACAAAGATGTTACGTAAAAATGACACGAGGCGTGTCTATTTAAAATCTATATTCAAACTGATGCGTATGGCGTCGACTAAGATGAGGGACAGCACGCAGAACCGACAGACCATTTGCTCGTTGTCATCTTCTGACCCCTGACATGTCAGCTACGTAGCAATATTAAGTATATGTACTGGCTACCCGGACACATGGGTAGAATCAAAGACCTACGAGTCAATCCAAACGAGTCGCCCAACAGCGTTGTCCGTGATCTCACTGACTTCCACGTTTTCACAAATGGTGCTCACTCCGCTGGATTGATTCCACTACCCGAAGATAAACTCACCACGTATAATGATATCGCTAAACACTTTTATCTGGGCAAAAGAATTTACCGCGCAGCCCCCCGCAAACGTAAACAGAGCACAACCGATAAAACTTAGACTGTTACAAACAAAATTGTACTATTGACCGGTTCAAATCAGGGAGTGGTATGGAGTGGAAAAAATAAAGATTACATGCAAAGCCTGCAGCAAAAATGCACGCGCGTTAGACCGCATTCTCTGAGACTGCGGTTCACTGGGGCCCGGTATTAAGCGCGAATGCTTCGAGAGGCTCATCAGATCATCAAGTAATGATGCTGGCTGTCCAGCACGCCAATGACAAGACCAAAAGGCTCGGCCTACTCGTTCTGTCTTGGGAATAGCCAGATTGATGCAAGCGCGTCATTTAGAGGATCAAGAAATAAAGTTTCAAAGAAGAAGGAGAATCCGCCTCCCGTGTCTTCCCGTTGGATACAAACAATTACTCGAGTATTGCTACAGAGAGTTTTGTTTCAAACCATTCTTCCAGCCCTCGCGCCAACGCCCGTTTAAATCTGGTGAACGCCATGTGCACCGCTGCTGCTTCGCATGTTATGAGGGTTCCCTTCGGTGAGATGGTCCTTTATTTTGGGGGTGAAGCTTTTTGTTGCATGGGTCGTGAATCCGCGTAGTAGGAGTAGTAGTAGAAGGTTGCCACCTCTTGTTTGGTCCATGTCCGCTGAATGGCACTGCTTTTATATGACGAATATATGAAGAAAAGATGCGAGCTGGTGGTACTTGGAGTGTTCACAAGATGGATCGATCAACGGATGGACAGACGTGCGAATGGGCGGAAACAGAGACAGATGAACACACGGACGGACGGATGAACGGACGCATAGACGCACGGTAGGATAGACAGATGCACAGATGCACGAACGGATAGATGCACGCACGGACGAACGGCCGCATGCACGGACGGACGAATGGACGTATGAATCAGCGCACGGACGGATAAATGCACGGACGGACGGACAGACGGACGGATGGATGCATGGACGGACGCAAGGATGAATGGATGGACTAACGGGTGCAGATAGGGTGAATGAACAGACGCACAGACGAACGCATGGACGGACGCACGAATGGACGCACAGACGAACGCATAAATGGATGCACGGATGAACGGACAAACGCATGGATGGATGAACCCACAGATGTACGAATGGACGGACGGACACACAGATGGATGGACGAAAGTTAAGACGCACTCTCGGACGTTTAGCTTCACTTATCATCATTCAGTGCATGCATATACCGTGCTTTTTGTCGCCTTTTTGCTTTATCATCATCAGCCTGACTATGTCCACTCCAGGACAAAAGCCTATCCCATGTTCCGTTATTCAATTCCTTCCTGTGCTTGCTGCTGCAAATTTATACCCGCAAACTTCTTAATCTCATCTTCCCACCTAACCTTCTGTCTTCCCCTAACCCGCTCGCCTTCTCTAGAAATCCAGTTAGTTTCCCTTAATGACCAGCAGTTATTCTGTCTTCGTGCTACATGCCCGGCCCATGTCCATTTCCTCTTTTTGATTTCAGCTATGATATCCTTAACCCCCGTTTGTTCTCTTATTCACTCTGCTCTCTTCTTGTCTGTCACACCTACCATTTTTCTTTCCACTGTTCGCTGCGTCATCCTCAATTTAAGCTGAACCCTCTTTGTAAGTCTCCGGATTTCTGCTCCGTAGCTAAGTACCGACAAGATGCAGCTGTTATATATCTCCCTATTGAGAGATAGTGGCTATATACTGGTCATCATTTGAGATTGCTTGCCAATTGCACTCCTCCCCATTCTTATTTCTCGAGTTACTTCAGTTTCGTGGTTCGGCTCCATGGTTCTTACTTGTTCTAGGTAGACGTAGTTTTTTACAACTTCAAGTGCACTATTACATATCTCGAAGTGTTGTTCTCTTCCGAGGTTGTTGTGCATTACTTTAGTTTTCTGTGGAATAATTTTAAGACCTACTTTTTTGCTCTCCTTGTCTAACTCCGTAATCATGAGTTGCAATTCGTCCCCTGAGTTACTCATCAATGCAATGTCAACAAAGACGCGCAGGTTACTAAAGGGCTCTCAATTAACTCTTATCCCTAACTTCTCCCAGTGTAGGCATCTGAAAACGTCTTGTCTACACGCGGTAAATAGCATTGGGGAAATTGTATCCCCTATCCTTGTGCCTTTTTTATTGGTATTCCACTGCTTTCTTTAGGAAGCATTGGGGTAGCAGTTGATCCCCTATAGATTTCTTCCAGGTTGTTTACATATGCTTTGTCGACGCACTGATTCCACAGTGTCTGCATGACTGCTGATATTTATACAGAATCAAACGCTTTCTCGTAATCTATGAAGCCTATGTATAGTGGTTGCCTATATTCTGAGCATTTCTCTATGACCTGATCGATAGCATGTATGTGGTCGATTGTTGAGTAGCCTGTTCGAAATCCTGCTGGTTGCTTTGACTGATTTAATTCTAATATTGTCTTAATTTTGTTAGCAATCACCTTTGTAAATAGCTTCTATACTACAGAAAGCAAGCTGATCGGCCTGTAATTCTTCACCTGGCTCCACAAAGCTATGACTCCAAAACGTAAGGAGGAAATAGCCCTGCACCTCATTTCATAAGCGCTGTAATGCATGAGTGAGTGAAAAGTTTTTTTGTCGCTCCACGTTTACAATATTACAATATTTAAACTGTATAAAAAAGCAAATAAAGTGCTTCTGGGGCATGGAATAAACTGACTGGCACCTGAATTAAAGTCGTTGGCGCTTGGAATAATTATGTTGGCGCTTAGACTAAATGCTTCGCACGTGGAATTATTAGCTTGGCGCTCAAATTATTTCAACGGCATGTGGGTGATTTAAGCTAGCAATTGGATTGAAATGAGTGAGAAACCTGCAATCTTCTCACTTACCCACTTCCCTGGTGCATATACGTCCATTTCGGAAGTGTAACGTAAAAGAAATAAACAGCACTTCACGGGGCTAATAAAAACAATAATTTTTTGCTGCTCACCAACGTCTGATCACTGCAATAATAGAATTTTTTCGAATACGACCGCAAAAGTTTTGGTCCCCAAAGCCCTTGACGTACGGATGCTTTAGGTCAAGCAGGAGTGAAGAGTTTTTGAATAGGGTCTGTGGCGCTTTCGACACTCCCCCTATTCTATGTCACTCTTGTCTTGGTGGAGAGCCGTCACTTCAATGGCTGCCGTCACGTTTGTGCGACACAGAGCTTTTGGGGCAGGCTTTGGGGTTCCCCCTAAATTCGAGAAATAGCTTCCCCAACCAAAAGCCTGAAATGGTTTGGGCTTAGCGCATGCGCAGTAGTCATGACACAAATTCTTTGGGGCCCCGAACTCTTGGGGCCCATGATAAAACATTCCCAAATGCTGCGCTTTGTTGGAGATTATCATTGCGCTGCCGGTGGTAAGAATAAGAACGTTGATTTAAAACTTACCAATAATAACAAAGAACGTTGTCCGATACGAAAGTGAGGTCATCCTGGGGATTTGTGTGCTAAGATGAAAAAACATTTGTGAGATTGTCGCAGAATCAAATACGCAAAAGGCAGTCGAGCGCCGCTTATATCGCAGCGTTTTAATCTGCTAAGGTATGATAAGTTAGCACTGAATTTGTGTACATTTTCAAGTATGTAGGGCGCTACTGCTACGCTGTCACCAACAAATGTAGTCTTAAGAGATTTCTTGGCCGAGAATACAGGAGACAAAGAAGTGGTCAGTAGCATCCAGCCAATTGCGCAACCACGAGCTCATGCCGAGGGCGATGCCGCGAGGTAGAGAGCAATGCAGCTGAGCCCACTATTGACTAGATTCACCAACCGTAGAAAAAAAGGCGCCATCTTGGCAGCTTAGGGTAACGAAACAAATACTGGGTCGTAATACAGCTTGAGGTGAGTGACCTGCCCAAGTTCACTGCTTGGATAGCGTAGGTCTGTCATGACATGATTGCCTCTGTCAATGACATGATTTTCATTGGTATGACTGGATTCGGCGACAAAGTTTGCGGAGTGAACAGGTGGTGTAAACTGGAATCCCCAGCCACACCAAACGAAAGAATCAGACGGAAAATTAGATGCAGAGAGGAAGCCAGGTTGGCGGATTGCTGCTGCCACTGATCTTTGGTAAAAGAAAAACTGCGAAAATTGCGGTGTTCGTCAACACTTTCGTTAGCTGAAAACAGGGCAGTACTTTCAGATTCAACCGATGCATACGAAATAATAGTGTTAACTGTATGTGAAGGTTCTCATTTGTGTAAAACAAAGTATACGGTGGAAACCGAGTAGCAGTTTGCACCGCTGCAATAATCGGGTAAATCACAAAAGAAGTGACTTCATCCCAATTTGAATGATCAGGGGTGACGTACATTGATAGCATATTGTCAAGAGAACGTTGTAAGCACTTCGCGCGTCGTTTGTTTGAGAATGGTGCGCAGTATTTGTGTGGTGCACAATTCGGCTTTTTTGAAATAATCTCTTCAAATCCTCAGACAGAAAGGCATGGCCTCTGTGGCTTTGGAGCTCGCAGGGTTACCATGACGCCAGTGCGGCTATTTCGGCATGGCGTGTCAGAGAGTCTATCGCAGCGATAATCCATTGGTTACCAGCTAGACCTGAGGGTAGTGGTTCGTAGAAGTCAATGACAATGCGATAAAGAAGTCGACTAGGAAAGAGTATAGGGCATGATGGGTAGATTTGTACGGAAAGTAACCTCTATCATTGGCAATCAGCGCACGCGTGTTTGATAGCCTGCACGCAGTTGTACATGCCACACCAATAAATTAGGAATCGAAGTCTAGCGTTCGTCTTAAAACGACTGCATTCGCGCACTGTGGGTCACCATGAAAAGCGTCGCATACACCAGTTCGGAAATCGCACGGTATCACAAAGGGCCACTTGCGATCGCCGGAAAGGCTCCTCCACTACAACACTTAGATCTACAAATTCAATTGTAGTTAATTGGAATAACGCAGGTTGCTAAAACTTATGTTGCTGTCTAGTTTCAGTGCTGATTGAGATTGTTGCTTTTGCAACATGAGAGTTAAGCCCTCTCTTGAGAGAGACTTAGCATTGTCGCCACGGCCGAATGAAGTTATTTTTTCTTCAATTAAGCTGCATATTAGTGATCGCAGTTTATTCTATCGCAATTATCTCGACTCTTATGACGGATTTCCCAGACACCACCAACGCCATGCTCCGTATGAGGTCCTAACAGATAACAGCCCGCCACGCATCTTGTGTTCTACCTGTGAGGAACCGCATGCCATCGTGGGCGATCATCATGGAGATGATCAAACAAGATGGTCCATCTTTGTCTCTCGGAGGGCCCACGTGGAATCATATCCCCATTTGTGAAGCACACCCTAGAACGCTGCTAGGCAGAGAATAAATACCCCAATTATTTTGAACTAGCATGAAGAATCGAGGGAGTGTAGAGAAGGAAAGGCGTCGCTTGTGCGAACTTTGATTTTAAGGCTTTGGCAGCGATCGTTGTGGCAAGCCCTATCTCGCACGCATCAACGAACAGGTTGTTTACCCATCCACGTGCTGTGCCCTCCACGAGAACAGAATGTGCGAAATCCTCTTGAGTTTCTGTAGCGGTTGTATTTTGTTACACCATAGTATTTCAGGGTTATGTGAGAGTGGTTATAGAAGAATCATTGTCCAAATTCACTTCCTAAAATTTCAACTTTCAGTTATTACAGCTATCATTTCACCCTTGCTGTGATAATGTGGTATTTTTTAGCTGACAAAGTAGCTCCTCAAATAAGTGGTGGTATGACCACTCTTTATTATGACTACAAATGAGATTTGTTTTACAAGTAACATTATTAAGCCTGCAAATACACGACTGCAGTTCCTGCTTTGATTTATTATGTACTTTTGACTGCCATTACTGCTTTTAAAAGAAAAATTGGGCTTCTGAAACTTCGACGTGGTTGGCTAGCGGTTATGGCACTCCACTCATAACCCAAAGGTGGTGGGATCATATACCAGCTGCAGCGGCTACATTTTTGCTTTCATGGAACGTTGATCCACCACAGGAGATCAAAATTGCCAGAGCTCGACACTATGTGTCTCTAATAACCATGTGGTGGCTTTGAAATGGTAAAAGCCAGATAATATTATTAGGCTTTTGAAAAGCAACCACGCGAAAGCAAATGCACAGGCAGTCTAGAAACATTTGAAAAGCTGCGTAAATGCAATATCCAAAAGCACTACTCAAGCTAAACACAAAAAATACCAATGCACTGATGCTGACGTTTTTCCAACTGCATAAGTGGAAGAGCATCCCTATGATTTTGAAGATTATCATTTTCGTGTGATATTGTAGATTAGCATTCACTACACTCAATCTAAAAAAGTAAACAGAAAGAACAACTCACAATTTAAGGGTAAAGAAATGAAAGCCACACAGCGCTTTCTATTTTGAGGCTATCATCGATGCAAAATGAATGCCGAAAGTTGCGTTCAATACATATAGCTGAAGCCGTCTTGGGAAGCCAATCATATAATATAACAAAAAGTAAATATTTTTGTTCAAGTTCGGGAGGCCTTTTCGGAGCCATTTACAGCCCTGCTATAATAAACAGCACAATCGGCGTGCTTTCGTATCAATTATCGAACACTGCTCTGTCAAAATTCCGCGTTAAACAATAAAACATTGCCTGTCAAACCGCCTTGTGTCATTGGCCTTCGTCAATGTAGCAAGCATAGCTGTGCCTCGAAGACGATTTAACAGTTTTTTTTGGGAATGCGACGTGTATCACTGCCTTGAACAAAGAAAATTCTTGAGAAAAGAATGGAGCTACTAGGAAAAGTGCAGATTCCTCTCCCACAACAATGAACGATAAGAAACCAGGTCCAAGCATCTCGTTAACCTCCTGTAGTTTTTCTTTTGTCTCTCTCTCTCTCTCTGTGTCCGCCAACGTGCTTGTTTCTTTGACGTATCTCCTGGAAGGTAGCTGCAAAATCTTTGGGCACTAGATGCAGGCAGCACAATAGTGATCGCTTGAAGTGCCACTGAACAATTCTTCATTCATGAATCCGCCAATAATATTTTGTATTTACAGTTCTGATACTCTTTGTAGAAGCAGCGATGGCGTAGTGGTTAGAACATCCGCCTCGCATGCAAAAGGACCGTGGTTCGAATCCCGGTGCCACGCAGCTTCCAACCGGATAAAAACAATCCGCGTGGTGATGGAACTGCATTACGAGGCCTGCGGTTGCGGCCTCACTGGTAACCACCATCGGGAACGCAATCGCTCACCAGAGACGGATCGGCCACCCTGGTGCAGTATCTGGCCACTACCTCCCACATGCATACGTCAAATTACTCAAGGCCCTCAGTCCCCAGCAGCTTCGAAGCAACTGACCACGGCGGCGGTCAGATCTGCAACGCAGCAGAGGGTGCTAAGAATCTCTGGGTCCGGACAGGCCGCCATTGGAACCTGAACTTGGTAACGTTTAACGCTAGAACTTATTTTAGTGAAGGAAATCTAACTGTACTGTTCGAGGAGCTGGAGGGTGTTAAATGGGATATAATAGGGCTCAGTGAGGTTAGGAGGACAAATGAGGCCTATACGGTGCTAAAGAATGGGCATGTCCTTTGCTATCGGGGCTTGGCTGACAGAAGAGAACTAGGAGTGGGGTTCCTAAGTCACAGAAACATAGCTGGCAACATAGAGGAATATTATAGCAATAATGAAAGGGTGGTACGTATCGTAATTAAACTAATTAAGAGATACGAAATGAAGATGGTACAGGTTTACGCGCCTACATCCAGCCATGATGATACTTCACTTGAAAGCTTCTATGAAGACGTGGAATCAGCAATGAGTAAGGTAAAAATACAGTATACAATACTGATGGGAGACTTTAATGCAAAGGTAGGGAAGAATCAGGCGGGAGACCAGACAGTAGGAGATTATGGCATCGGTACTAGAAACGCCAGAGGAGAGCTACTAGTAGAATTCGCAGAACGCAATAATTTGCGGATTTTGAATACCTTCTACTGAAAACGAGGAAACCGCAAGTGGACATGGAGGAGCCCTAATGGCGAAAATAAAAACTAAATAGACTTTATAATGAGTGCACACCCAGGCATCGTGCAGGACGTGGAAGTGGTTGGCAAGGTACGATGCATTGACCTTAGAATGGTACGGTCTCAAATTCGTCTAGATTTGAGGAAGGAACGACAGAAACAGATACGCAAGAAGCCAATAATTGAGGTAGCACTGCGAAGGAAACTACAGGAATTCAGAGTCTCGCTTCAGAACGGCTACTCGGCTCTTAGTGAGGAGACCAACCTTAGCATAGATACAATGAATGATAATCTGACGAGGATCATTAAGGAGTGTGCAGTGGAAGTTGGAGGCAGGGTAGTTAGACAGGACACTAGCAAGCTTTCCCAGGAAGCGAATAATCTCATTAAGAAGCGTGACATCATGAAAGTCTCAAGTACAACAGACAAAATAGAACTGGCAGAGCTTTCGAAGCTGATTAATAGGCGTAGGGTATCCGATGTAAGAAGGTTTAACATGGAGAGCATTAAACACGCTCTGAAAAACGGAGGAAGCGTCAAAGCAGTGAAGAGAAAACTTGAGATAGGCAAAAATCGAACGTATGCTCTAAGGAACAAAGAAGGCAAAAACACTACCTACATGGATAGGATAGTTAAAATAGCGGAAGAGTTTTACAGAGATCTGTACAGTAGCCGGGACAACCACGACTTTAATACTATAAGAACTAGCAGTAACCCAGATGACACCCCACCAGTAATGATAGAAGAAGTCAGAGAAGCTTCAAAGAGCATGCAAAGAAGCAAAGCTGCTGGTGAGGATCAGATAACATCAGATCTGCTGAAAGATGGAGGACAAATTGTGTTAGAAAAACTAGCCACCCTGTTCACGAGGTGTCTCCTGACGGGAAGGGTACCAGAGTCTTGGAAGAACGCTAACATCATCTTAATACATAAGAAAGGAGATGACAAGGACATGAAGAATTACAGGCCGATTAGCTTGCTCTCTGTCGTATACAAGCTATTTACAAAGGTAATTGCTAACAGAGTAAAGAAAACATTAGAATTCAATCAACTAAAGGAACGAGCAGGATTTCGAACAGGCTACTCAACAATCGACCACATTCATACTATCAATCAGGTTATAGAGAAATGCTCAGAATATAACTAACCACTATACATAGCCTTCATAGATTACGAGAAGGCGTTTGATTCAGTAGAAATATCAGCCGTCATGCACACACTACGGAATCAGGGCGTCGATGAAGTATAAATAAACATCCTGGAAGAAATCTACAGGGGATCAACTGCTACCATAGTGCTTCATAAAGAAAGCAACAGAATACCAATCAAGAAGGGTGTAAGGCAGGGGGACACAATCTCCCCAATGCTATTTCCCGCGTGCTTACAGGATGTTTTCAGAAGCCTAAAATGGGAAAAGTTAGGGATAAGAGTTATTGAAGAGTACCTTAGTAACCTGCACTTCACCGATGACATTGCATTGCTGAGTAACTCAGCAGGGGACGAATGGCAACTCATGATCACGGAGTTGGACAAGGATAGCAAAAAGGTGGGTCTTAAAATGAATCTGCAGAAAACAAAAGTAATGTACAACAACCTCGAAAAAGAGCAGCGCTTCGAGATAGGTAATAGTGCACTTCAAGTTGTAAAAGACTATGTCTACTTAGGGCAGGTAATAACCGCGGAGCCGAACCACGAGATTGGAAGAAACTAGAAGAATAAGATTTGGGTGGAGCACATTTGGCAAGCACTCTCAAACTACGACAGGTAGATTGCCACTATCCCTCAAGAGGAAGTTATATAACAGCTGTATCTTGCCGGTACTTAGCTACGAAGCACAAACCTGGAGAGTTACAACGAGGGTTCAGCTTAAATTGAGGACGACGCAGTGAGCAATGGAAACAAAAATGGTAGGTGTAAACTTGAAAGACAAGAAGAGAGCAGAGTGGATTAGGGAACAAACGGGGGTTAAGGATATCATAGCTGAAATCAAGAAGAAGAAATGGACATGGGCCGGGCATGTACCGCGTAGACAGGATAACCGCTGGTCGTTAAGGGTAACTAACTGGATTCTAAGAGAAGGCAAGTGGCTTAGGGGGAGACAGAAGGTTAGGTGGGCAGATGAGATTAAGAAGTTTGCGGGTATAAATTGGCAGCAGCAAGCACAGGACCGGGTTAACTCGCGGAACATGGGAGAGGCCTTTGTCCTGCATTGGGCGTAGTCAGGCTGATGATGATGATGATGATGATGACTTTTTGTACATGTGGTTGTACCCAAGGACACCTATCAGTCTTACAGCTCATATACAACCTTCTCAACACCAATGTGAACACTCTCTGCTCGTGGACAGTGTAGTTTTTTATTTGTTATTATTTACGAATCTGAAGAAAAACTACGCCTGATTATAACCGTTTGAAAGGGCATTGCGCATGTTGTAACAAGTGCACTGGTAGTCTCATGTACGCAAAGGTAGGAAACAACGCAGAACATTTAGATTCACAGAACCTTTAAAGGAAGCTTTGCACAAAAAGCTAATCCATATTGCTCTTCTTAGGTCTACAGATACCACCACTCTTTATTAAGCAGCAGTTTTGTCAAGCACAAAGCATTCACTCACAACCTGCATATTCAAGCAGAAAGCATACGTGCTGAAGCCGTTTCAAACTGACGGTGCAATCTGAATCTAAACTGCTGAGATTTCCTTGTGAGATTCTAGCTTTCACTCTGCTTAAAATACTGTGGAATGCAAAGCAGGTTTATAAAAATTTGCTGGTCATATTCTTCGCCGTTTGCTTCCGTGAAGTGAGCGGTATTTCGTATGGCATATTTTATAACAGTATGCGTGAAGGGCCTAAAGTGCACCGGTTTCAAAGGTGAGAAGGCAGGTTTTTATCTCCTTCACTACCCTTGATAAGTGCACGCGCTGTCTCCTCTTCACTACCCATGTGTTCCATAAATACATGAAATGTCAGCACTAATCGTTCAATGACTCACGAATTCGCCTTTTCCGGCTACATGCTGCCATCATGCGACTGCATGAACAGGAGGATAGGTGACCATTCACAACATGCATCTCTTTTATATCGACCAATCGAGGGTGTATTACATCCTGACGTTACCTGAACATAGAGATGACGTCACGAATTGTGCTACAAAGGCTGCAAACGCCGGTATAGAACAACGCACTCGTTGCCCCTACTTCGAGAGTTGGCTCAGGGTCATTTAAAGCTCCCTGCCTGAAATCAAACAGCTGAGATATAAGAAAGCACTGGTATAAAACAATAACCTGCAAGTATATTTTTATGATCAATATAAGCTCTTTTGTGCATTTGGATGTAAATAAAGGACTAATATATTGTCACGTGGTTGTGACGTAGACGTAGGAAGCAGCCGGCGTGCCCAAAGCTAAAACTCTTTACTTGGCTGAACTTAATAATACTGTCTTCGGCTTCCCTTTCCGA